GAAGTATTTAGGATCTTAATGAGAAAGTAAAAATACATAACACTAGTGAAATACAGAACAATCGATAGACAATTGCAAGACAAAACTACCTCAAGTGCATGAAGAAAGGGGTTTTGTATTAAATCAATTGAAAAGTAGAACATAACATGAATCTGCATCTCAGAGGCCCCAGTAAAGGAAAAATCAGAATAATAGGAGGTCAATCAAGGAATAGTTCTTAAAAGAAATGAGATTTTAAATGTGAGTTTCAAGAGAAAAACTGAGCATGAGCTGCTAAGCTGGTGGGGAGAGTATTTCAGAGAAAAATGCAGCAAAGTGAGGTGGGGAGACAGGTGCACAGCACAGGTCCTGGGCAAGAGTTGCTGCACCTAGGTTCTTGTTTGGTTTGCTAGGCCAGCCTCCCACTCTAAACAGAAATTCTCCCTGTAACCTGCAGGCTCAGATTGCTCAAGAAGGCTCTTGAAGAAAGGCATAAAGCCCCTTTTGTATAATTTGCACTTTTTGCACCTTTTCCAAGGCAGAGTAAAGAGCAGTACTGTCTTCTCATCTGCTGACACTCAGCCCAGCGGCCAGCAGAACAGAACATGGCCAGGCAGGCTCTGGCATGGGGCCACACAGCCTCCTGCCTCTCCCATGGTCAGAGCATCACACAGGCCAGCTTTTCTGACAGGCCCCAGGCCTTCCAAACTAGCCAACTGCACCACCAGGAGGAAAATCCTCCCCATCTCCCAGGCAATCTGCTTACAATGAGCCTGTGATTAACCTCATTAACACGCATGTTTACCACAGACATCGTTAGCAGCCAGTCAGACATTACTCAAACCATTAAAAACTACAAGAACAGCCACTTCCCTGCCAAGTGCAGCCAGCCTGGCGCTCCCTAGCTCTGGGCCTTCAGAAGCAGTTAGTCAGGCCCCTTAGTCACGACCTAAATGCACACTGGAAACATGACTGACATTCAGAGCTCTTGTTCTTGGGTGCCTGGAGGATTACACTCCAGGGCCAGCTATCCGAGTATTGCAGTCCAGGCAGTGTAAACACAGACAGGACATTCCTCTAGGAAGTGATCACTGGTGCCCGTGAGGGGAAAAGTGTATTGCTTCTAGAAACCTATGCAGCAGAGCTTTGCATTGGGACAATATAAATAGCAATTCCCTGTTCCACAGCTGCCTCCCAGAAACTAATGAATGCTGTGGATGTGGCTTGCTAATTATTTTCAAAATCACCAGCATCCTGAGCGGTCCCACTGGAGGCCCATGGCCTCTGCAAAGTTTTCCTCGACTCAAGGGGCACACTCCCTCCCTCTCCTGAGAAGGGCAAATTCACCCAGAATCAGCATGCACAGTTGAATATCTCTTTACTCACAAATTAGTTCAATGTGTTTATCTCAACTCTGAGAGCTAAATGTTGGTTTCCTGAGGGCAAATTCACCCAGAATCAGCATGCACAGTTGAATATCTGTTTACTCACAAATTAGTTCAATGTGTTTATCTCAACTCTGAGAGCTAAATGTTGGTTTCCTGAGCACAGGAGTCATAACTTCTGAACCATACTGGCCAATTCAGCCTGAGAGTTCTCAGCCTGAAGTCCAAAGATTCCCCAGGGGGGGATGGGGGGGTTGTATGGATAAAATTTTAAGTCAGTGAAGTTGGATGAGAAAAAATTACATGTTCATTTTTACTAACCTTTAACTGAAAATTAACATACCCATTGATTATGAATGCAGGCAGTGACTCACAGTAATCTTAGCCATGCCTGTGACTTTGTTCCCATAAACATGTCCATGACACATTTTTTAGTTATTGCTATCTTAAAATACCATTTGTGTTTATCACTAACTCAAAATTATGAAATTTACTAACTCAGAACAAAGTATTTTTATTTAATGCATTTATCATAAAGCACCTACATTAATTTATTACAAATTTATTGAATACATTAATAGCTATACTTCCATAGCATTGATTTCTTTTGTAATCCTGTCTATTTTATTTTATGCATTCACTTAAAACGTAATTCTGAGAAGCAGGTTCATAATTTTACCATACTTCCAAAGGTGTTTATGACCAAAAAAAGAAAGTTAAGAATCTTTGCGTCAGACATACAGCAAGTGCTCAGTAACTCTTTGCTTAGTGACTTTCCAAAAATATGTATATAACAATTCTCGAATTTCAACATATGGTTATTTTTGTTTGCCTTTTTCCCAGCTACCAGTATAAAACCAAGGCGTTAACACTCAGCCTCTTCATGAATTGCTTTCCTTTTTCTGTTCCAAATGTTTCAGGTTCTTATTTTCTACCACTGTCCCTTCTACAAGCAATACCCCTTCCTGTGGCCAGGAAAGAAGATTCCAGCACCCTGGGCAAACACCACGAGTGTGAGCAAACTAATCCTCTTCTTGGAGACCACTCTGAGCGAGCGGGCCCCACGCGGCTCCTTCCACGTCTCCCAAGCAATTCTGACCCCCAGAGTGAAGACCATTGCCCGAGGCCTGGTTGGTGGCCTCAAGAACACTCTGGTTCATAGGTAAGAATTTGCTTTCACCCCACAGTAAGG